TGACATATCAGACAGTCCAGATGGCAGATGGCAGACTTAATAGAAAAATACTTAAAGCAGCTATTAAAAATCTGTCCGAAGCACCAAAGGAAACCATTCTTAAAGACGTAAAGAACTGTAGGATGACAATGGCTGATCAAATACAGAATATAAACATAGAAATTAATAAATAGCCAGAAGAATTCTAGAATTGAAAAGTAAAGTGAAATGAGAAAGTCAGTATGTTGCGGGGAGAGGGGGTGTGTGGAGGTGGAAGAGGGTATAGGGGCTATAAATGGTGATGGAAAATAAAATTGAATAAAGAAAACAAAATAAGAAAGATATTAATTACATTATAATAAAGTAATTTAAGAAATGTATAAAAAATGTCACTAAACTTTTCACTGAGCATCTACTATGAACACTTTTGGGTGCTGGTAGTATAGTAGGAAATAGACACATACCTATGTTCCTATATTTATATTTCACATAGTATAAGAGGTCTTAGTGAGGGAATTGAAGTAACAGGAGGAAAAGAAACAAAGGAATAAGGGTTATAAAGAAAAAAAGCAAACTATCATTATTCATAGCTGCTAATATCATCTCTATAAAATGTATACAAATCTATAGAGAAACTATGATCGTTAATAAGAATTTAGGAAGGGCATTGGATCTTAGATCAACATATACAATTCAATTACATTTTAATACATTGTAATCAGCTAGAAAATATAAGGATGTGACAGATACCAAATAGAATAGCTACAGAAAAACAAAGTATATAGGAATAAGTCCAACAAAAGACATGTAAAAAGTTCATGGAGAAAAATTCCAAAAATTTTACTGAAGATGCTAAAGATGACTTAAACGTATGGATAGGAAGACTCAGTATAATAAAGATGCTATTCCATCTCAAATTGACTCATTGATTGAATGTAATCAATCAAAATCCAAGTGATACTATTAGAGACATTTGACAAGTTGATTTTAAAATTTCTATGAAAAAGCAAAAGTCCAAGAATAGTCAAGATACTCTTGAAGAAAAAGAAGATAAGAGGACTTTCTTTCCTAGATAAGATTTTCTTTTTAAAACAGCCATGGTAATTAGAGTACAGCACTAGTGTAGTAAAATCTAAATTAATCTTTGGAAGTAGATGTCCGTAACCCCAGATCAGACTGAAGCTGGAGTGGGTACTGGAGGTCTTTTCCCGTGCCAGACTTAACCATTTCACTTTTGGATCGTGGGGAGGTTAGGGGATTCCAGGAGAGGGGCCTGGGTGGCCCAAGTGATGGTTTGAGGGTAGTAAGGAAACTTAGGTAAGTACCTATTTACTAACAGTTTTGGAAATATTAAAAAAAAATTTTTTTTCTTTATTGATTTTTAGAGAGAGCTGAAGGGAGAGAGAGAGAGAGAGAGAGAGAAACATTGATGAGAGAAAACATCAATTAGCTACCTCCTGCATGCCCCCCACTGGGGATTTGGCCCACAACCTGGGCATGTGCCCTAACTGAGAATCGAACTGGTGACCTCTTGGTGCACGGGTCAATGTTCAACCATTGAGCCACAGCAGTTGAGCAGAAATATTTTGGTATTTTAACAACAGGTACAAGTCATACAGTTGTGTACTGGCTTCAATTAGTCCTGCATACTTGATGTGACAGAAGTGATCACTGGGGTAAGGATGGATTATGCAATCACAGATGCTGGGGAATTATACATATAGAAAATACACATACATACATATATATGGTTTACACATGCAAAAAAGTGAAATTGGATCCTTAACTCATACCATTCATATAAGTCAATTTTAGATGGATACAGTGGATTAAAAGTGAAAGGTAGTACTTTAAGACTCTTGGAATAAAATTGTGGTAGTGATGTTAGCAGTTCAACAAAGATTGTGTACCTTTTTCATAGATTAGAGTTGTTGGGATCAGGTTCCCCAGATAGGGACTACATTTCCCAGGATTCTTTGCCTTTAAATGGGGCCACATGAATGGGTTTTGGACAATGGAATGTGGACTGACATAGTGTACACCATCTCAAACCATCTGTGGTAATATACCATTTCTTCCCAATTTATCATGGATCAGTACTTTTTTTTTTTTTCAGATTTCTTTTTTTATTTTTATTTTTTAAAATTAATTTATTTACTTTTGTTACAGATGTTTCTCCTTTCCCCCCCACTGATTCGGACCTGGATCAGTACTTTTGTAAACAAAAATAAAAATAACCAAAAAATTAAAATAAAACAATTCACACCAAATACAAGCTCATTTTTTTTATTATTAGACTCAACAAACATAAAATCACTTTGTCAAGTTGCTATTAAAAATTTACAAACACTTATTCTCAATTTCTATACTACTGGGTGATGGAGAGGTAATAAACAGTTTGCAGACCAGCAGAAGTCAGTGGATCACCCTTTGGGTGTATGTCATTTCCTGACATGGCCCAAAAAAATCTCTCACCCAGTCTTTCACATTCTCTTTCCTCCCATGTCTACAGGCGAAATGTCTATAATTTGGCTGTCCTGGAAAGCCAATGGCTGAAGATTGTAAGTCTTCACTTGCCTGAATCCCCAGGTGACTTCTTGGAGCAGAACCCTTCCCACCCCATTTTGCCACTAATTGAACCTGAGGTGAAAGAAAAATAAAATTAATTTGTGTTAAGCCACTGAGCAGTCAAAGTTTATTAGTTATACTATTGGTATTAGCTTAACGAATAATGTAATATAGGAAAAATATTTTTGGCCCTAATATACTGAAGTCCTTATCAGAAAGAATTTTAAAACTGACCACACTAAAAATAAGATTTTCTGTACATCAAAAATCACCATAAACATAGTAACTAAAAACAAGTCACAAACGGGGAAAAGACATTTATAATACATAAAACAAACATCAATTTAGTTTTCAGAGTATATAAGGTGATTTTACAAATCAACATGAAAAAGCCGAACAACCCAATTGAAAAATGAACAAAATATATAAGCAAGTGTTTCACAGTAGAGGAAATATGAATAAAAATTAGAACTTGAGAAGATATACAACCATATTAATAACAGAGAAATGCAAATTAAGACCACCATTAGGTACCAAGGGTCTGAAATGATAGAGCTGAATTGGAAACTCTCATTCACTGACAATGAAAGCAAGTCAGTTCAACCACTCTAGAAAAACAATTTAACATTATCTTTCACTGATAGGTATATACAATCTAGACTGCTGTTACATGGTAGTAGAATTACCATGTTTAGCAAACAAAAATGAAGGGTAAGGTTAAACTGTATTTAAGATAAATAATATTTTTAATTCAAATTTTATTGGGCCTCATATGCTTTATCTGGAATCCTCTAAATAAGTGGAGGTATGTACAAAAGTGTTTATAGCATTGTTTATAATAGCAAAATCTGGAAACCACCTACATTTGCCTTCAGGAAATAATGGATATTCACACAATGGAGTGAGTATTAGGCAGCAGTGAAAATGAATGAACTACAGCCATGAGTAATAACATGAATGAATCTTAGAAACATTACTAAATTTAAAAAGCAACTCAGCCCTGGCTGGTTTGGCTCAGCGGTTAAAGCGTTGGCCTGTGGTCCAGAGAGACCTGGGTTCGGTTCCCGCTAGGGTCCTGTACCTCGGTTGCAGTTTGTCCCCGGCCCTGATTGGGTCATGTGGTGGCAGCCAATCGATGTGTCCCTTTCACATCGATATTTCTCTCTCTCTCTCTCTCTCTTCCTCTCTCTCTCTCCCACTCTATCTGAACAAAAAATGTCCTCAGGTGAGGATAAAAATAAATAAATAAAAAGCAACTCAAAAAATGTACATCACAATACCATTTTCATACAACTCAAAACCATTCACAACTGAACAATATGCTGTACACATGTGATAAAGTATATACAAGTTTATGTGGAACAAATTAAAGTAGTTGTGCCCTGGCCAGTTTGGCTCAGCGGTTGGAGCATTGGCCTTCGAACCAGAGAGTCCTGGGTTTGGTTCCGGATAGGGGCTCAAACAAATAAAATAAAATAAAAACAAGAATAATAAAGTAGTTGGTAGTGGTAGAGGCAGGGGCATGCATAGTTTAAAGGAGGTATTCACAGATTAATGTGCAGTGTTGGTAATGTTCTGGTTCACACACAGGAAGAATGCACACATATGTTCATTTTTCTGCTGTGCTTTTTATCTCACACATAACGTGTTATTCTGTATACATAAAATATTACGTAACATTAAAAAAACAGATGATCAGGAAAGTTGAGTTGAACCTCCATCTACAGACAGAAATCCTCATGCTTTTCTATTATCCTAGGATACCTATCCTAAAACATAAAAACAATATGCCCTGCAATCAGAGAAATAGTTAAAAGAACAGAATACAACTCCTTATCTTGTTCCAGGGGTAAGCTAAGAGACGGCGTGTACACAGAAAGCTAGTGTAGCCAAATAATCAGTAAGTAATATATTATAGTGTAGGGGTGGGCGGGTGGGGGCAGATGTTTACAAAACGGCTTCTCAAGAGTGATTGTTGCAGAGATTGCTAGGGCTACAAGGAGAGAGCCACACAGTAAGCTCCCTATTATGTGGGTCCACACTGTCAGTCAGTCAGTCCAGTCCATTTTCTAGTAAACCCTCTTTAGATCCTCTTTCCAAGGTGGGTTGAGGCTCCGACTGTTCTCCCCTAGCTATAAAGGTTGACTTTTGTCACTCTGCCAATTTAGAGAGAGAAAGTAAGGGTAAAGCTCATTTTCATAAGCTAGCCTAACTAGTGTTGACCTAAATTCCTTCTTGGCCTCCTAGGACACCGCTGATCTAAACCTCTTCAAGAAATTGATAGGATTGATCTCAGTCCTGGGATTAACGGAGAGCGGAGCGCTATGCGCAGGTCCGGCTGGAGGTGGAGCTAAAGGGGCCGGATAAAACGTAAAGGAGCGCGTGCGCGTCACGTCGTAGGAGGCGGGGCTTCCGGGCTGGGTTTCCTCGGCGACGGCTGGGGGCCGCACCGCTTGAGGTGTGCGCAAGCTTTGCAAGCATGGCGACCCCGCCAGGCCTGCAGGCCGACTGCGAGGCGCTGCTCAGCCGCTTCCAGGAGATGGACAGCGTGCGCTTCGAGGACTTCACGGAGCTCTGGAGGAACATGAAGTTCGGGGCCATCTTCTGGTGGGTGTTTCTCGTCCGCTACCCACCTCTCTCCCCGCGTCTGCTCAGAGCGGCGTAGGAAGTTGCATACTTTCTCCCCCACCCTATCCCCGCCCCCCATCGCCCTCCTGTGTCGGGCTTAGAAAAATGGCAGTCTCTGAAGGCTACCTCCATCTCTCCTGGGCCCTTTTCTGTGTTCAGGCTACGCGCTTTCCCTGGGCGATTTCTTAGGCTTCAGTAGCATCCTTTTGCGGCCCCTTCCCGAATCTGTATTTCTGCCTGGCCGCTCTTCTCAACTCTCCTCTTCCTGTCCACTGCCCCAGCCTGACCTAGGTCACCATCGTTTGCCCTTCTCCAGCCTTGTTCTAGAACCTCATGTTTCAAAACAAAAGAAACACCTAAGCAAAAACAACACGATTGAATTCATTTTATCTGTAACCAGAGTTGTCTTTCTAAAGTGCAAATTTGAGCTTGTTACTTGTCAAGTAGTCTTCTTGGCCTTTGGGATACAACTCAAATCCCTAGCTTGGTTGGCTAGCTCCTCTGTGATTGGCCTCTGCCCTTCTCTGCAGCTTCGCCCACCAATCCCCTCCTTGCGCTCACCGTCTTGCTCCCGCCCTCTGCAGGCGTTTCCATCGTCTGTGGTCCTGCCCAGGCGTTTGCTCAGCCTGGAGCTTTCCCCCAACTCCCTTTGCCTGGCCACTTTGTTCTTCACTCAGGTTTAAGTCCAAATGATAATTCCTCAGAGAAGTCTTCCCTTGCCCTTCTAGACTAAATAAGGGTACTAATCTTTTTTCCCCATAGCATTCAGCTTATTTTATCACTTGACCTAACCACATTTTATTTAAGTGTGTAGTTCAAAAAACGGTATTACTGTTTGAGAGCACAGATTATGGAGCCCAAGTGTCTGAATTTGAATCAGAGTCCACATACTGTGACTTTTGGTAAATTACTTGCCTGAGCTTTTTTTTTTTTTTTTTCAGTCGTGGCAGAGGGGTCAGGCCCAGTTTAATACACAGAACAAGTTAATTCACAGCAGAGGCAGGCAATAAAGGAGACTCGTTTACAGGGGGGCATGCCTGGATTGGGGGGGAACCCCCAAACCCACAACCTCACCCACTTTCAGTCTCAATTTCCCTTTTTTTAAACCAGAACAATAAATACACACAACCACGAGAAACAACCATTGCCCCTCGCTACCCCCAGTATGGTTTGCGAGGAGGGTGGGGGCAGCCCAGCCTGGCGGGATGGGGGGGATCAGGGCTGGGGGAGGAGGAAAAACTAGTCCTTTGCAGAGTCTGTGCTTCTCATGCCAGCAGGCGCTGGGCAGGGGCCCACCTGCCCCACCACAATGCCTGTGGCTGTGGCAGGCGGGGTGGGGCTCTCAGGGAGGGGGCGGGAACAGAGTTGAAAACCATGGTTCACATCATGCAGTATCCACGGTGGGCACCAAGAGGTGGGCTGGGCACCAAGAAGGGATGAGGGTGGACACCACACCCACCTGCCCTGGGCAAGAGAGGGGAATGGTGCCCACTTGGGGGTGGGGAGGTGGGGCAGTTGCCGCTCCAAAGCTGGGGGGAGGGGCCGCCAGGCAGGAAGCTGGCAGACTGGTGCCCTGTGGACTTGGCTGAGCTGCTTTATTTGTAGAAGAGGGACAATGGTAATACCTCATATTGTAGTTCTGGGGACTAAATGAGCTAATTAATGTATGTTAAGTGCACTCCAAATGCTCAGTAAATGTTCATTATTTCTATTATTTAAAATTTTCCCTCCATTAGACAGAGCTCTGTGAGGACAGTGACCCGAAGAATCTGGTGTCCGTTAGTATAATATATAAAATATTGAAAAGAGTAAATCATTGAATGAGTTCTTGTGATTAAAACTTTAGTTTGCTAATAAAATGTAAAAGTTCTCTTTTTTCTCTCTGTTGATGTAAACTAATTACCTGCATTGTACATTGCAGGTGATGGAGGATGGAGAGCTGTTTGTTGTACAATTAATGATAGGAGAGAAACTATTTTCTTTAATGGCTACTAAATGTAATGCATTTATAGCTTAATGTATTTAATACATAGGACAGCTCTGAAAAGCAGGTATAATGGATGTTTATAGATAGGAAAATGAGGCTGAAGGAAGTTAAGTAATTTCTTCCTGATCACACAGCTAGTAGGTGGTAGAACAGATGTTGAAATCTGTTTTCCTGTTTCCAAAACCCATGATCTTTCACTGTAACCCTCTTGGGAAAAGTGGTGGTAGAGACCACTTGAGGAGTGGGGATTTTCTTTAGAAGTACCTTTGGCTGCCTATATTTACAGTAGGTATTTTGCATTCTTTTATTGTATTATTTTGAAGAACCCAGGCTTTGGGAGTATCAGGGAGTCTGCTTTCCTATCCCGATCTTTCTTTACTTTGGTGAGCTTTGCCCTGAAGAATTGGAAGGACGGGGTGGATTACATTGTATTGTGGTCTCTAACTTATGTAGGTGTCCCAAGGACAAATGAGGTTTAGTATGAATCCCCGAGAGTATTAGGGATACTATTATATATTAAAATTTATGTAGCTTATGTATTTTATTCTATAACATAACCATGGTTGTCTTAATGTATTAAATGTTTTAAATTCTTAACCAGGAATAATTTGCGACCCCTCCCCTTTTGCTACCCAATTCAGTAGGTCAAGTTGATGCTTTATGAAGAGTCATCATGTTTACCTAGAGTATGCCTGTGCCTCAGTGGAAGAAACACAACCTTGGATTAGGTCTTTGTGCTTGAATCAGGGAGGGGTCAGATGTGGAACACCTATCCAGTTTCTAGCAGCTGCTAGAATGTACGTCTTCTAGTTTTTGTTCATTACTTCATTACTTAAAGTTATAACATGTTTTCTCTTTGTTTTCTAGTGGTAAAATGAGAAATTTAGAAAAGAACACATTTACAAAAGAAGCTTTAGCTTTGGCTTGGCGATATTTTTTACCTCCATACACCTTCCAGATCAGAGTTGGTGCGTTGTATCTGCTGTATGGATTATATAACACCCAACTGTGTCAACCAAAACAAAAGGTAATACTTGATGAGTTGTTTTCCACCAGCAGAAACAAAATGGGTACCATATTTTTACAACAAACTGATTTATATAGAAATGCCAGTGTTTCAAAATATAAAACATTTGTGAAAGAAGATTTACATATAGTAACAACTTTTTTAATTCTCATGTTTGCAGATTAGAGTTGCCCTGAAGGACTGGGATGAAGTTTTGAAATTTCAACAAGATTTGATAAATGCACAACATTTTGATGCAGCCTATATTTTTAGAAAGCTACGACTAGACAAAGCATTTCACTTTACAGCAATGCCCAAATTGGTATGTTACCAAAAATACATTGTTTCTTCAAAATGAGAAATTATACTTTATTGTCCACAAAGTACCTCAGTCTCCATAATGTGGAAAAAATATTATATAGTTTCCAGTACTTGTAGAAAGTCTTCTTAAAATAGGAGAAAATGCTTTCTGATTATTTTTTGTTACAATCAAAATTCAGTCTCTGCTTTTAAATGCAGTGTGTTTCTGAATGCCACCTGTTAGACAGATAAAGCAGATTGTTAGAAAGGACATTAAATTCAGTTTCTGCATTTGTTCATTTCTTTATTCAGACATCAGAGAGGGTACTACTGAAAGAGGACCAAGGAATTTTAATGTCAGTTGGTGAAAAGTTGAAAACTTCCACTAATAAAATATAACATTTCTTTGAGCTTATGACAATTGAGAAACTAGATTAGAAGAGCACTAGGTTCTAGTTCTGGTTTTGCCATCAGCTGGCAAATATGGAACTTTTCTGAATCTCATCTGAATTTGTAGGCATGCATGTGGCATCTTAAAGATTATTTCAAAATTCTAATAGTCTTTAAAAAATGGATTATTTAATATATTCTTAGTGCTGTTTTTGTTTCATCCATGTTTACTGATAGACAGTTCTTGTTGCTGTCTTACTTATTTCCAAACTTAACAAATATACTTTAAAAGACATTCATTATCATATAGCTGTCATATAGAATGAAGAAAAAAATGCCGCGAGCTGAAGTTACGGAAGAATTTAAGGACCCAAATGATCGTGTAATGAAACTTATCACTTCTGATGTATTAGAGGTAAATTTGCTTTTATTCTCTTGAAATTAAAAAAATTGTTTTGTTGTTAACTATATATTGAGGTTACACCTTCATCTACTGCATACTGAAACTTTTTAAATGATTTTAACCAATCATAGAATGAATATTATTTTCTCTAAAGTATCAGAAATAATATACCCTAAATATATCAAAATTTATGGAATAAATCTTGGAACACAGTAAGAAACAGATGTAAAAGACTGGAGTTGGATGCAGGATATTTAGATTTAGATACTGAAACCACCATTTGTATTTGACTTTTTAGGTCATAAAACAAGAATTGGAAGTGACTGTTTTTATTCATTTATTTTTAACAATATGTGTTTATTTCCTAAGTTCCTTTTTTACAATGCTTATTTAAAAACCCAATGTTGAAGACTAGGAAGATTTAAGAGATCAGACTTGGGGTGATGCACAAAGGCCTATTCTTTTTGGGTGAGTGGAGAGGAGGGTTAGAAGGGCCAGGTCATGAGGTACCTATTTCTTTTTTTTTTTTTCCATTTTTTGTTCAGATAGAGTGGGAGGGAGAGAGAGGACAGAGAGAGAGAGAGAGAGAGAGAGAGAAACGTCGATGCGAAAGAGACACATCGAGTGGCTGCCACCCGCACGACCAACCAGGGCCAGGGACAAACTGCAACCGAGGTACATGCCCTTAGCGGGAACCGAACCCGGGTCTCTCTAGACCGCAGGCCGACGCTCTAACCGCTGAGCCAAACCGGCCAGGGCGAGGTGCCTATTTCTAGAAGCTTCTGTGAAGTCATCCTGACTTTATCTCAGATTTTTGACTCGCCACAGATCTGCTTTGAGAACCTTTTCTCTCAACATCTCTGTTGATTCTGTTTGTCCTGTTCTTGTATAACCGTTGACCCATCCTCATTGATAATCCTTCACTTTAATGCTTTTCTACTTTTCATCTACTGCTTGCAAATGCTTTGATGTCTCCATGTCTCTCATTTGTTTCTGCCTCTCATTTGTTCTAGTTTTGTGGTTAAGGCGGCATAATAAAATGAAGAGGATAGGATATTGAATCAAAACATCTGATTTTTAATTCTAGCTTTGCTACTTAAATATGATCTTCAACTAAGTATTTTATTTCTAAGTCTGTTTTTTAATTTATACAGTTATAATAATGGCCATTATTTGTTGATTTTCAACATGTGCCAAGAACTGTGTTACATGTTTTATGGATGTTAGCTCACTAATCATCATAGTAACCTTGCAGAGGAGGTGGCATTTTCCTGATTTTAAAAACAAGGAAACTGAGGCTCAGGGAAGTTAAGTAATTTGCAGAAAGTGAGGTGCAGATACTGGATTTGAATGTCCAAGTCTGTAAGGTTCCAAAGTAGAGGCACTTTATTTCTTAACACTTTAATTTTATATAAAGCTTTCCATTGTATAGAACACTCTCACTAGTATAAGCTTACTTAATATTTTTACATTGGGTTAGGTGACATTACTTAATTTTGTACAAATGTGGAACATGATTCTCAGATTGAGGGATTTGCTCAAGGTCACAATCTAGCAAGTGATAGAACTCATGCCCAAACCAGGTCCAATTAGTGGTCTTTTCCCTGTATTGTATTCCATGTAGCAAAATAATGGGAGTGTAGCAGATTGTAAACTGTACAAGTTAGGGGCTCCCCAGTGCTGGACACTGTTCCCTTTTAAAGATTGTGCATGTAGGAGTACTCATCACTGCCGAGCAGTTTCTGATTCCTTGAGCAGATGTCTGTTATTCCATCAAAATCTAGAAAATCTAGAAATGAATTGAGTAGCCCAACTTCGGGATGACTCAAATGTTGTAGTGGCCATCTATGAAGGGAGTGTCAATAGTTCCTTGCTGACCTTCAAGCCAAGTCCCAGTACTGGTTTTATTTGATTTCTTAAGTCTGCCTGCAATGTGCTGTCTTTCTCCTTACCCCATAGATCTGCCCATTTGGGGAGGAAGGTCTAATTAATAAACAGTGCCTCAAATGGTGCCATAAATCCCCTGTATTTCTTTCAGTCCTAAATTTTAACACTGAAGTAATGATGAAGCTTATCGATACTGGCACATATGCTTTGAGACTTTTGAAAGTCAGCGAATCTCTGTGGAGGATTAAGTGAGTCATTATATAGGAACTTTAGTTGAGCATAGAGAATTGTGTGAATATCCTTGATAGGACAATATAAAGTAAAAGTGTGATTTTAGTTATCAGTAGTCATGTTTAATGATATGTTATATTATAAATAAGTGTTGTTATATCCAGGAATGCAATCCTTTAGTAATCAATTAGTCTTTCCCCATACAGTATATATTACTTATTTGTTGGGTTGAATTAGATGATTCCATACCTCTGGAAAGCAGCCACTTTATTAATAAAATTGTACTATTGTCCAACCGGTGTGGCTCAGTGGTTGAGCATCGACCCATGCACGAGGAGGTCACTGGTTTGATTCTTGGTCAGGACACATGCTCAGGTTATGGGCCTGATCCCCAATGGGGGGCATGCAAGAGGCGGCCAGTCGATGTTTTCTCTCATCGATATTTCTCTCTCTCCCCCTCTCACTTCCTCTCTCTGTAAAATCAATAAAGGAAAAAAAAAGTTGTACTATTTTGTTTACATAATTATATGATTTTAAGTTTACTATAGCATGTTATTCTCATCAACACAGTCACTTTGGAATGTCATTTTATTTTGTGTTGGTTTTGCCTCTAAGTTTTTTCTATAAAAGTGAAATAAAAGACTTATTTTTTTTTTACTTTTAGGAAATGCTGAATGTTCATGATCATTATCAGAACATGAAACAAGTAATTTCAGCTGATAAGTCCAATCCAGACAAAACCCTCAGCTTGGTAAAAGATGATTTTTTTGATAATATTAAGAACATTGTTTTGGAGCATCAGCAGTGGCACAAAGACAGGAAGGTATGTGCCTGAGTGTGTGATATCTTGCCTTTGCGTTTGCACTGTGCACGCAAGGCTGGGCACGGCGAAATGTTGAGAGGCTACGTTGCCGTGGAGCTAAGATTTAGAGGAGTTTACTTTTCTTTGCTACTTATTAGCTATATGATGTCATTTAACCTTACAAACAATTCTCTTTATATTACATAGAAAACCAAATAATTATAATTAATAACAATGATATAATATATAATTAAATAATATATAATTGCATATATAATTATAGAGGAATGAGTCATCTTGGTATACCACAGATTTATTGTAATCTTTATAATTTAGCATTCTCTGGAGGTTGCATTCTGGCCGCCTTTGGGTGTTTTGCTTGGCACAGCACTGATCCTAACATTATTTTAAAAATTAATTACTAACGTAAATATTTGTAGACCGCATGTAAAATTCCAGATACCCAGCTTCTCTTAAAAGTCAGAGGTTTGGGCCTGGCTGGTGTGGCTTAGTGGATTGAGTGTCGTCCCATGGACTGAGAGATCCCAGTTTGATTCCCAGTCAGGGCGCATACCTAGGTTGTGGGCTCCATCCCCAGTAGGGGGCATGCAGGAGGTGGCCGATGGATGTTTCTATCTTTCTCTCCCTTCCTCTCTCTCTGAAAAATCAATAAAAACATTAAAAAAAAGTCAAAGAGTTGGCAGTGCTGTTCCCCCTTTGCTGCACGGCAGCAGATAGCTAGACCCAAGTGGTGGCTGCTCCCATTGTGCTCTGCCAGTCTCAGATTATCCATTTACAAATCTCATCAACACACATCAGATTAATTTTCTGACCCAAATATTGAGGCTACAGCTATCCAGATTCCACATTGACCTTGTCAGCTGGAGAAACTTTTACTCTGGAAGTCCAAAGGCCAGCCTTGCTAACTCTACCTTTGAAACAACTCTACTACTCCATCTTATTTTAGTGAATACTCCTAAAAAAAAAGTAAAACTAAGCAATTTCTGATTACTTACTGTGTTTGTGATAATGTGTTACTGTTTTTTCAAATGCTAGATAGGTATTATTATCTTACATACTGTGTTTCAGAAAGATTTATTGCCTTTTTTTGGCTTTCCATTGTATAAAAGAAGCTGGCTCAAATTAATTTTGGAAAAAATATACAAGGAAAGTGATGAGGAGATTATGTCTTGGGAAGCTGGCTGTACTTTGCTTCCTCTACCCATATTTATTTTAATGAAGTAGTACATTTAGAATGTTTGAACAGTATTCTCTTAATAAACTATTTTTTTTCCTTTATTGATTTTAGAAAGAGAGAGAAACATCGATGAGAGTTAGAACATTGATTGGCCGCCTCTTGCATGCCCCCCACTGGGGATTTGTCCCACAACCTGGGCATGTTCCCTGACTGGGAATCGAACCAGCGACCTCTTGGTGAATGGGTCAACACTCATCTGTTGAGTCACACCAGCCGGGTTCTAACCAGGATCTTAATGTCAGATGGTGAACCATATTGCAATAACGTGAAATGATCTTTTAGTTTTTCAGTAATTAAGTAAATGATTTTCATCATTCTGAAGTTGATTTGCAATTAATGTTTAGATCATTTGAATTGTTAATATGTATATATAAATATTTTGCTTTTTCAGAATCTGTCCTTAAAATCAAAAGGTAAAGATGGAGAAGAAAAGATGGAAGAAAAGTCACAAAAATCGGAGGTCAGAAAAATTCCTGTGATTGCTTATGGGGCAGTAGTTTAATTAGCTTTCTTTTTTTTTTTTTTAATGTGTGGTTGTGATTCTGTATACTAAGTATTATGATCCTTGGTCAGTATTATAATAAATGTCTTAGAAAATTCTGAAACATGGGTTCATGGGTTCTGTGAAGAACTAGTCTGTTTATTACTGGAAACCCTGGGTAGGACCACTTCAGGTGTAGATAGGCAGTGAGGATGTTGACAGTTTTCAGCAGGGGACGGGAAGGATGATGCTGGAGTGCCCTGGGTTCTTACAGGGGCGGAGTAGGGATTTTGTAATACTTCTTTTCTCAGTTCCTGTCAGCCTTTCAGTTGGTGTGGAGCTCAAGTTACTCAGTATTGCTTCCTGCCTTTAGAGTTTTCATCCATCTTAGTGGATGAGACACACAGCCATCTTTGGGCATAGGCTGATGAGGTGGGACTGGCTTCATCACAAAGGCTTTTGTTCATATTAACCTCCTTAAATCCTGATTGGAAACAATCAGTAGCTCTGGGGATGGTATCATGGCATGTGCCGTGACAATGTGGTGTGTTACTCAGTATGCATGCAATAAGTGTTACTTTCTTGTACGCTGCCTCTGGTCTAAAATCTTATTTCTTCAGGTATTCATAATTTCACTTAATGTTTCCATGTGTAACTTTTCCCCCTTCCTGTGTGTTTTTACTTCCAGAGATGTGAAAGGGCAGAATCATTAGCAAAACTGAAATTAAAGGCCTTTTCAGCTGTTGTTCAGGTAAGTTACTTCTTTATAGTAAGGTAATTTAGAAATTGACTTGATGATTTTTTAATTCCATTTTTGTTTTTTATCTAAGTCAGTGGTTCTCAACCTGTGGGTTGCAACCCCTTTGGGGGTTGAATGACCCTTTCACAGAGGTCACCTAAGACATAACAGTAGCAAAATTACAGTTATGAAGTAGCAGTGAAAATAATTTTATGGTTGGGGGTCACCACAACATGAGGAACTGTATTGAAGTGTCGCGGCATTAGGAAGGTTGAGAACCACTGAATTCTAAGTAATAAATGTATATTGTTTAAAAAGTCTAATAATACTATACAGCTTGCATAACCCAACAGTCTCCTGTTCTACCACTTCTCACCCCTCCCCTCTATTCCTAATCTCAAGAGGCCACTGTCTTCAACTTTTTCTCTTTTTTATAAATTTATTTAATTTTTAAAACGTTTTCTCTCTTGCCTGGCCTGTGTGGCTCAGTGGATTGAGCATTGGTACATGCCTGGATTGTAGGCTGGATCCAGTATGGGGCGTGCAGGAGGCAGCTGATCGATGTTTCTTTTTCTATCATAGATGTTTCTAAGTCTCTCTCTCTCCCTCCCTTTCCCTTTCTATCTAAAACTTCATTAAAAAAAAGAAAAATAAGCCCTGGCCAGTTTGGCTCAGTGGTTAGAGCGCTGGCCTGCAGTCCAGAGAGACCTGGGTTCGGTTCCCACTAAGGGCGTGTACCTCGGTTACAGTTTGTCCCTCACCCGGTTGGGTTGTGTGGGAGGCAGCCACTCGATGTGTCCCTTTCACGTCGATGTTTCTCTCTCTCTTCCTTGCTCTCCTTTCCACTCTACCTGAACAAAATGGAAAAGTGTCCTCTGGTGAGGATGAAAAATAAATAAGTAAATAAATAAATAAATAATAAATAAAAAGAAAAATAAAAACATTTAAAACTTTTTCTCCCTTAATTCCTTCTGGTATTTACCTGGAATTTTGATGGTATTGTTCTTTATTGTCTTCCAGCTTTTGTTTTTCTGTTCATGGAAAGTTTTAGGATTTTCTCTATCCCTGGAGTTCTGAAAGTTTATGATAATGTAACTTGATATTGGTCTTTCCCCATCATTATCCTTTGCTCTCCTGGTGGGCATCCTTTGATCTGATAGCCTTCTGTTCAGAGGGGTTTTTTTGTATTGTTCTTTGATAGAGTTCTTTGTTGCATTTTTGCTCCTTTTCTTTTCTTGAACTTTTATCTTGTTTTTCTTTTCTGTTTTTAATCCCTTTCAGGGAGATTTCTTAAACTTTGTTTTCTGAACATTACATTGAATTATTTTATTTCTGCTGACATTTTTTTCATTACTGATATTTTTTTCTTTAAATCTTTTTCTACTTAAAAATATTCTTTATCTTTTTTTTGTGGCTGCATTATCTTCTCTCTTTGTGGATGTTAATTACAGTTTTTTGTTTTTTTTTTATCCTCACCCAAGGACATTTTTCCACTTTTTGTTCAGATAGAGCGGGAGGGAGAGAGAGAGAGAGAGAGAAATATCGATGTGAAGGGACACATCGAGTGGCTGCCACCCGCACGACCAACCAGGGCCGGGGACAAACTGCAACCGAGGTACATGCCCTTAGCGGGAACCGAACCCGGGTCTCTCTATACTGCAGGACGATGCTCCAACCGCTGAGCCAAACCGGCCAGGGCTAATTACAGTTTTTTTGAAGCTTCCTCCTTTTCTCTTGGATTTCCTATTTTGCTGGCTTTTTCAAATGTTTGAAGATCATATTTAAGAGTGGTCATGTAGAGATACAGCTTTTTAATTTTGAATGTTTTTTCTCTTCGATCTAGTCATTTTTACCAGGTAGCAATCTTCCATTCCCTCTCTAGGGGAGGAACATGGTAAATAAGCCCAGCTGTCAATGTTTGGGAAACCTACGGAGAGAATCAGCTGGGAGGCTTCTCATTCCTTTTGCAGGTTTCACTTACCCTCCCTTTTTTCAGTAAGAAGCTCTGTCTCCTTCCTCAGCTATACCGGTTTTCTTCTCTGGTGTTTAGACTCTCCTAAGAGCAAACCTCCTGTTTTCTGCAGGAGGAAGCCAGTCGTTTAGGTTTGAGGCTGAGAAATGGGACTCTATTCCCTATGTATATTTTCAACATACCTACCCATTTTTTGGTCCCATTTCTCATGACTCCAGTTCCTGATCCACTTGGATCAGCTTGGTTTATAGTCACTTCTTCAATATAGGCAGTTGAGTTTTAGCTTTCTTCATTCTCTTGTCAGTTATCACTCACTTGCCCACTCCCAACATCTTGTTGTTTTTTAGATGCTTTGTTTCTTATTATTTTTGTTCTGTGAATTTGTTCATTTTTGTTCCTTTACTTTCATTTTTGTGGGTTGCAGGAGGGAACACTGACAAATTTATGATTAATTTCATTAAAAAAATTTTTTTTCCTTTATTGATTTTAGAGAGAGAGGAAGTGAGAGGGAGAGATAGAAATCGATGAGAGAGAACATCGATTGGCCGCCTCCTGCACGTCCCCCACTGGGGATTGGGCCCACAACCTGGGCATGTGTCCTGACCGGGAATTGAACCAGAGACCTCTTGGTGCATGGGTCGATGCTCACCACTGAGCCACACCAGCCAGACTGATTAATTTCATTTTTTTCCTGAACCTAAGAATGTAAACTGTGGGAAATTACTATCATTCTCTGGTTGTGGAAATAAAAAGAATAAGTAAAAAAATGAAAAATGGTTTTAGATCAGTTAAGTGTTATATATTTGCTATACCACAGTAAATTGAGTGCAAAATATTATTGAATGAAAGCACTAACAACAATAAATTAATTCCGAATTCTTTTTTTTTTTTATTCCTCACCCAAGGATAGTTTTCTATTTATCATCAGATAGAGTGGGAGGGAGGGAGAGAGAGAAACAGAGGGAAACATTGATGTGATAGAGCCACACCAACCAGTTGCCTCCCAGACGAACTGCAGCCGAGGTACGTGCCTTGACCAGAATTGAACCCGCGACTCATTGGTACGCAGGCCGACACTCTAACCACGGAACAAAACCTCCCAAGTCTCCAAATACTTATAAACCAGAACTGTTTCCATATTATATAGTGGTCACCAAATGTTTTAAGATGTTATGAAATAATTTTTAAAATCATTAAATAATAAAATTATAATCCTCATAAATTGTTTTAAGTGCGTATGATTGCATACTTGTGGTTCTTCTTTATTGAGGTTCAATTTTAACATACCATGCATGGTAGCTTTTAAACAATTGTTAATACCTACCTCCTCTGTATATAGGACATTAACTGAAAATTCCCATTAGTCAGGACTCTGTGTAAGCATCGACTGATGTAACTAAAAGGTCCTTGGGCTGTCTGCCTCTCCATTTCTCACTTTTTGTGTTGCTTTCATGTCTTCAGTTGCTGTTCATGACAGCTGTACCCTTGCATGTTCCCAGCTTGAGGTTCAAAGGAAAGGGAGAACTTTATTTCCTAATAGTTTAACAGAATTCTAAAATTGAGTTGCATCAGTCCTGATACAGATCATATGCCCACCTCTGAACAAATCCCAGTGACCACTGAGTTGTGAAATTCATTGGACTAGATCAGGGCTGCACGGCCAGACCTGGAGCCAGTCATAAAGTAGTTCCACTGGAAACACATGGTGGTAACTAAGGAAAGTACAATATTAGAAGAGAGGGAGGAGAAGTTGTTCGGCAGTAAAACACAGCCCTCGTCCCTGATGCCTCCCTTTCTCAACCTTGCAGCTACGAGCACTTTAACCCAGTTTGAGAGCTGGTGAAGACAGCCACAGGAACTTTTCCTGTGGTAGAGATAAAAGAGTATGCACATGTGACAAGCATTAAGCAAGCCAGTATAATGGTAAAGTACTTATGACAAATATTTTTGTAAATCTTTCCTCATTTTTTTTTTTTAATCCTCACCCGAGGACATTTTTTTATTTTTTATTCAGATAGAGCGGGAGGGAGAGAGAGGAAGAGAGAGAGAGAGAGAGAGAAACATCGATGTGAAAGGGACACATCGAATGGCTGCCACCCGCACGGCCCAACCAGGGCTGGGGACAAATGGCAACCGAGGTACATGCCCTTAGCGGGAACCGAACCCAGGTCTCTGGACCGCAGGCCAATGCTCCAACCGCTGAGCCAAACCAGCCAGGGCTCCTCATTTTGATTGTGTATTTTGTCTTTATCTATCAGTTGGATTCATTTTGCAATTCATTGTGGTTAATTGGATTTCTAACTCTTAAGGCTTCCAAGTCAAGAAGGCATCGTCAACTCAGGCTTGACTCGTCTGACTCTGATTCTGGGTCTGGTCAAGGACAAAGCAAAGCAACCAGGAGAAAAAGAAACAAAGAAACAGTGAAATCAGTAGGAAAGAAGAAATCTTCCAGAAAAAGAGGTAACTTTTTAAAGTCCTTTTGAGACTCAGTAAAGGAAAATGGGACTTATTTACAATCGCTCCTCACTGATTTTTTGTTTTAAAGACGATTAGATACTTGTTTGACTGAGAACCTTGTGAGATTTAATATTAAAAATAAATGAGTTATCTTAGATTCTTAGAATCTTACTGCTGAAAGGGACTCTAGGAGTCATCAAATTCATCATTTTATATATGATGAAATTTAGGTCCATTTGTATTAATAATATAACTTGTTCAAAGTGATATAGCTAGATAATTATAGAATCAGTCTAGAATTTTCCAGATCATACTTTATTAGTAATTTTTGTGTGTGAAACAAATGCGTAGAATAAGGTATGATAAGTAGTTACATCCTGTAAACCATATTTTTCTCTAGCTATACAAATTAAACTATATCTGCTTTCCTTTTGATATAGCATAACTATAACATTACCTTTGGTATTTGGTTCTTAAAGAAATGACTATTTTAATAGTTTAGTTTTATTTATTTATTTTTTTTATCCTCACCTGAGGATATTTTTCCATTTTTTTGTACAGATAGAGTGGGATGGAGAGAGAGGAAGGAAGAGAGAGAGAGAGAGAGAAACATCGACGTGAAGGGACACATCGAGTGGCTGCCACCCGCACGACCAACCAGGGCCGGGGACAAACTGCAACCGAAGTACATGCCCTTAGTGGGAACCGAACCCGGGTCTCTCCGGACCGCAGGCCGACGCTCTAACCGCTGAGCCAAACTGGCTAGGGCAATAGTTTAGTTTTAAAACATTATATAGGTAACATGTATATTCACCATACATAAAGTTGGAGTCTGATTAGCAGGCTCAGGGAAGAAAAAGGAGCGTTAGAAACATTAGTAAATATTTAATGCCTAATATAAAACACACTCCTGGCTACTACTGGGAGTAGCATTGTAGGTAGGTGGGAGAAAACTGAAAACAGGAACACTAAGTGAAAGGCTGTATTGGAATAATGAGTATCTGGCCAGGTGGTAGTAAGAGTTAGGCAAGCAGATTAGCTGATATGACATGTATATCTATAGGTAATCAAAGATAGAGGCAAATGCAGAGGGATTAGACAGGAATGCATAATACCTAAGCAGCTTGGGGATTGTTGGTGCCTTTATCAAAATAAGAATCATAGGATGAAGATTTCATGTCCTGGGGGGTGGGAAATATACACCAATCTACCTTTTCAAGCTCAATTCCTATAATAGCTGTCTAGCACAAGTAGGTGCTCAGTATATTGATTGGATTTACTAAGTTTGTTTTACTTAAATTTTGGCTATACCTATTCACCATACCTAGAATATAACATGCACATTTCTGGAAGGACATCAGTAATAGTAATTATGTAACCTTATTATCTGCCCAACTTTTTTCACATGTCTAAGGTCACCTAGCTAGTAGAGCTGAGACTTGAATGGCAGTCTGTCTAAATCCAAGACTGAATCTTTAACTATACTTGCTGTCTCTCAGGTAATTGAAATGTGGATCTGGAGCTCAAATTAGACATACAGACATACACTTAAGTAAGTTGTATTCGAGCTGCATGTCTTGTAATTATTAGTTTTGAGATTGACAATAGTCTATTACTTAAAATGGCATCCCACACGATTAGCTTTGAGCATAGTAAAACTGACATCCTCTGGGGAATTAGTTTTGTGGATGACTGAGGTTAATTATTTAAATGTCAAAATTTACTTTTTGAAGTTTATTCTGGTTGATATCTTTCTAAAACATTACATTTTTAATCCGCTTCTTGTTTTCTATAATGTGCATTTATAGTTTTTACAATTAGAAAAATACTATTTTTTTTTATGCTCTCCTGTTTTCTAAAACATGTGTCCTGAACAGCATTTAATTTTGTCTATGACTCAGGGTTATTATCATGAGCATAATATTTTATTGGGTTTTATAATAAAATAATCCTATCAAGAAATACCTTAAGAGTGTGGGACAGTGTACCTTTAAACTGATGGCTTCATGCTGCAGTTTATGTCAGCTCTGCGTCTTATTTTATAAGTATAGTTTTTGTCACATTTGTTGTGGTGAGTGTATCTTTCTGTTCCCAGTGTGCAGGTTTGTAGCTTTTTTGCTCTTTAGCTGCTTCTTAACTGTAATGGTTAAGAGACTGTTTGCCTTTTTTTTTTTCAGTGTTCTGTAAAATAAATGTAATTAGGTTCTGGATAAAGGCCTGAGGAACATACCTGTGACTGAAGTTCATGAACTGTATTTAATATTTGAGATAAAATATCCTATAGATTTGTATGCTTACTTCTTGATTCCTGCCTGCATGATGTTGTGTGTGTGTGTGTGTGTGTAGCATTGTGTTTTTAAGAGCTTTTAGAGAACATTACTTTTTCTTTTTTAAACATTCATTTAATATAAAAGTGCTAGATCTCTAAAATGCAGTTAATCATCATGTGACTAGATGAAGGTTTGTTTCTCAGCTGTCAGTTTGAACTCAGAAATCCTCACCTTGCCCTGGCCTGTCTGGCTCAGCAGTTAGAGTGTTGGCCTGCAGTCCAGAAAGAGAGAAATCCTTACCTTGACACTGTTGGATAGATTCTGTTAGGTTGTAAATGTGGATTTTAAAAAATCAGTAATAATTGACATGGAGTCCAGCCAGTGTGGCTGTTGGTTGTGTTGTCCCATGTACCAAGAGGTCGCTGATTGGATGTCTGGTTGGGGCACATCTGGGTTTCTGGCTTGAGCCCCAGTAGGGTGTGTGCAGGAGGCAACAGATCAGTGTTTCTCTCTCATCGATGTTTCTGTCTCTCTCCTCTAAAAACAAAAAAATCAATAAAAACATTTAAGAAAAATTAAAATAATTGATACTGATAGACATACCTAAAAGATTGTGGAGAACAATGTTAGTAATTTTTAGGTAAATCACACTAATTATAATCTTGGGAACAACTGAAAAATTTTATAGGTTCAAAGGGTAAAAAAAAATACATAATTAGAGGAGAGATTTTCTAAAGATTATCATTTAAAAAATGTAAAAATTGTAGTAATTAATATGTAGAACTTGCAAGGAAGGGTAAAATTTTATTTTAATGACTCAGTGGGAAATTAGTATTAAGTTTGAATTGTGTTCAGAATGGAAGCTAATTGTTGCTACCGTTTACCTAACTCCATCACAGAACACTTTTTCTTCCATAAAATCTGCGCTCTGTTAAGATCCAAGTATACTTGTGTTCAGAGCAGACAGCTTAAACTAATTTTCATTTAATTTCTTGCCTCCTGTGCTGACAGGTACTTATTAACTTATATGCTATATGAAATACTGTATTATAAAATAGTTAATCCATATGTAATTATTTAACAAATATTTATTGAGGTCCTACTATATGCCAGGCACTTTTCTAAGTACTGGAATACATCAGTTTAAACCAGAATCTGGTCTTATGAAGCTTACATCCTAGTGGGAAGAGGCAGACTATAAAGAAACAAATTAATATACAGTATATCAGGCAGGAAAAGTGTGGTGGAGAAGAAGAAGGCAGCATAAGGAATAGAGTGATTGTGTGTGTGGGTTGCTATTGGGACATGCACATTATGTGCTAAATGAGACTTGATATGACAATGGAATCTGATACATTTGAACAGGGTATTTTTTCAGGCAACCAAAGATTGATATAGAAAACCTCCAATTTTAGAAAATGGAAAGTCAATGGCAAATTATGACTAGAGAAATATATCTTGTAGAGCATATGTGGTGATAAAAGGAAGTGTGTCTTCATTCAAAAACAAGGCTGTTAACTTTAAAATTACATTTGTGATTAATGAATAAAATCGAATAACTTGTGATTATTTCCTGATATCAGCAGATATACCTTGCTTTGTGTGGGAAAAAGATGGAATAGGATATCTGTGTCTGGCTAATTTGTTTCTTCCTGTTTCCTCCCTTTTCTTTAATGGAAGAAGTAGAGACTATTTTCAAAGCCTAGATTCAAATATATTAATACTTAAAAAAAGATACATATTTTAAAACACATATTTCTGTTTACCATTACAATTTTAGCTTTTAGTTCAAACACCTAATTTTTGTTATGATGATGACATTATTTGTATAAAATATTTTTCTCAAAGAAACATTCTTTGTTTTCATATAAAATCATTTTCCTTCTGTTTCTAGATGACATAAAGAACGTACATAAGGAAGATACATGTTTGCGTCTCAGTATGCCTGTGATTGCAGAAGAGGACGGGGAGGACGGAAGTCAGAGGGAAACAGGTACAGGTGAAGTTTTGTCAGACTGCTAAGGAAAAGCCATCTCGTAGAGCATTAGGTTTAGAGCCCTTGAGGAGCATGGTGGTTGGCTCAGTATGTTTTTATCTTTGGCATGTTGGAGAATTTTAGTAGTATTCATACTATTAATTAAGATACTGAAGAGTTGGAACTGGTAAAATTTGTCAATGATAATGAGTGTAATATGTATTAAGAATAATGCCTGCCCTGGCCGGATTGGCTCAGCGGTTAGAGAGTCAGCCTGCGGTCCAGAAAGACCCGGGTTCGGTTCCCGCTAAGGGCACATACCTCGATTGCAGTTTGTCCGTGGCCCTGGTTGGGTCGTGCGGGTGGCAACCACTTAATGTGTCCCCTTCACATTGATGTTTCTCTCTCACTCTCTCTCTCCCCCTCCCTCCCACTCTATCTGAACAAAAAATGGAAAAAAATGTCCCCAGGTGAGGATAAAAAAAAAAAAAGAATAATGCCTAGCCTGGCCAGTGTGGCTCACTGGTTGAGCGTCAACCCATGCACCAAGTGGTCACCAGTTTGATTTCCAGTCAGGACACATGCCCAGGTTGTGGGCCTGATTCCCAGTTGGGGGTGTGCAGGTGGTGGACATTTGATGTTCTTATCGATATTTCCATCTCTCCCTCTCCCTTCCTCTCTCTCTAAAATCAATAAAGAAAAAAATTGTTTAAAAGAAAAGAATAATGCCTAGCCCTGGCTGGTGTGGCTCAGTTGGAGCATTGTCCTGTACACTGAAAGGTCATGGGTTCGATTCCCGGTCAGGGCACATACCTAGGTTGCGAGTTCAGTGCTCAGTTGGAGTGTGTGTACAAGAGGCAGCCAGTCGATGTTTCTTACCCTCCCCCCCCCCCGCCTCTCTTCCCCTTATCCTCTCCCTTCCTCTCTCTGGTAGAAAAAAAAAACCTAATGACTTTTTAAAAAATTTTGGTCTCTGTATTCGTTCAGAAGACATTTATTGGCTGCCTCTTATATTTCAAGCACTTAGCTTGGCACAGGGATATAAAGATAATTTGCTACAAGAATTTAAGGACCATTTTACTTTAATCACAGTGATTATAGATGTGAGCACAGTGACTGGCTCATAGACTGGCCTGAGTAAATATTTGCTGAATGAATCATATCAGTCTGTGCCCCCAAGGACCTTATAGTTTAGTGTGGGAGGAAAATAAGCCAGTACTTATGGTAAAGAGAAGCAGGGTGCTGTAGAAGCATTTGGAAGACAAAGAATAGACAATTAAATAGGAGTATTTGTTCCTTCAGAAATCCGAGTGCTTCTGTGGTTTGTTTATGTCAGCATAAAGTATTTCTTTATAATCTTGTGGTGGTTTCAGACCATAGCTTCTCTCCAGTCTTGTTTGCTGGCTTTTAGTGTGTGTAAACTATTAATCACACACACACCTTTATGGGTAGCTGGCAAGTCCTATTTCAAAATCTATCAGCTTGTTATTTTAAAAAATTTGGTTTTCATTTATCATTATTACATATGCACATACTTTAACAATTCAAATAATATTCATTATCCAGTCTTCTAACTCTGACTCCCATTTGTTACTCTCCAGAGATAACCACTTTTTAAAAATATATATTTATTTTTTTTATTGATTTGAGAGAGAGGAAGGGAGAGGAGAGGGAGAGAGAGATAGAAACATAGATGAGAGAGAACATTGACTGGCTGCCTCCTGCATGCCCCCCAATGGGGATTGGGCCCACAACCTGGGCATGTGCCCTGACCAGGAATTGAACCAGCGACCTCTTGGTGTGTGGGTTGGCGCTCAACCACTGAGCCACAGTGGCTGGGCCAGAGACAGCCACTTTTAACCCTTTACTAATTATTGTGTTTCTTACCTCTTTGTCTGTAAATAACATGTTTATATTGCCATTTCTTCATATTACAATTCTATGGATTATCTATTGACTTCCTGCTGAGGAAGGTGAGGATTTAATTCTCTTATATTTTTCGCCTCTCACCCCAGACACATGTATGCTTCTCAGCCCACACTCTCCTAGTATAATTATTTTAGTTGTATTGGTGTTCAGCATTTACAAAACATTAATTGCAGTAGGTCCATTAATATACTATGATTCGTCCTTTATCTGCACACTTATTATTTTCCCTAGAGAGTTAATAACTGTTTTTGCCTTATTTTATTTTTTCTATGTGCTTATCACTGATTTAACCCCCAGAGTTTGCCTCGATTATATAAATCTCTTGGTATATTCAGACACATTAGGCACTTCATCAGTTTCATCTTTTTTTTTTATCCTCACCGGAGGACATTTTTGCATTTATCTTAAGATAGAGTGGGAGGGAGAGAAGGAGGAAGAGAGAGAAACATTGATGTGAGAGAGACACATTGAGTGGTTGCCACCCACATGACCCCAGCTGGGGCCAGGGACAAACTGCAACCGAGGTACGAGCCGTTAGTGGGAACTGAACCCAGGACTCTCTGGTCCGCAGGTCGACACCCCATCTACTGAGCGAAACCAGCCAGGGCATCAGCTTCATCTTTAAAATAAAGAGGTCTCTTCCAGACCTGTGGCCTGCTTTAGTCTGGCCAGCTTGTTCACGAGGCCTGCTGCACCTTCCTGGCTGCCCCTCTTCTAGCAGTTGCTTTTCCTTTTCTTCATTTTTCAGTGTCTTTTCTTACTTTTTTTCCTCTTTCCCCTTTTGTTTTTCATTGGTGGGAATATTTTTTTTATTTGTTTTTAATGACCAATAACTATTACGTTTATAGCTATTTCTAGATAGACACCTATTTGTATGTTGTTTCTGGTGTCTGCTGTGGTAGCCAAAAAGATGTATGGTACTAATGTCGTGGGTTACATTTTCAGGTTTAGTTGAAGTTATTGAAGTCTTAGCACTGGCCTGGATACCTTTCAGATTGGCACGCTGGGTCCATGCTAATTATAGGGAGAGCAGACCCATATGAAACAGCTTCAGAGTAGCTTATTATTAAGCAGGACTTAGGATGACTAGAATCTACATTAGTAAGTTTTCAACTGCAATATCATTTTGAGGAAAAAATCATGCGTACATGAGGTTTAAGATTTCTTGTTGGAACTTTGCTGTGACAACACTCTTATTTAATACCAATTAAGCATCTGTATACTTTAAATGTATATTATTAATTATTTTTTTTTAGACCTGACAGATTCTTAATTTTATGTCTTTAGAGGTCACTGCACCTAAGAGGAAAAGAAAACTCAGAACAAAGAGCCTGGTGTAGAGTTTGTCATTTTGAGCTTTCTGACAGAAGAAAAGATTTATATTTTTGTGTATTGAACAGGAAGACTGCCATTATTGAACACAATTCTTCTGGGAAACTTTGTTTCTTTGAAATGGTAATACTTTAACATAGTTCTAAAATAAAAATATACTTGGAGTAAGAATTTACTCAAATTTATTTTTAATATTTTCTTATATGAAATCTGCATAAGTGGAGAGAACAGTTTGATTTAGAATGTAATAGAAGTAGTCCTGTTACTTGCAGATTTTTAATATTTCCTACAACTTTTGTGATATTATACTATGTTAGTACAGTTTTGGTAATATTTAAAATATTTTTTCTTGAAATATTAATGTTTATTGCATGTAAATGGGTAATTATTTTGTATGTACAATCTGGTAATGGATTTATGACGTATATTAACTATTTTATATATTCTATGGTTAAGTGCACTAAAGTTTTTGCCTTATTTGCTCTATTTTTTAATCCTCACCTGAGGACATTTTTTTTTTTTTTTGTATTTATCTTCAGATAGAGCGGGAGGAAGAGAGGGAGAGAGAAACATCGACGTGAGAGAGACACATTGACTGGTTGCCACCCACAGGACCCCAACTGGGACCAGAGATGAACCGCAACCAAGGTACGTGCCCTTAGTGGGAACCGAACTGGGGACTCTCTGCTCCGTGGGCTGATGCTCCAACCGCTGAGCCAAACCGGCCAGGGCTTACTTTATTTTTTAATATATGAAACTTACATGATCAGTATGTTATATGATTGATAACTTAAGAAGCTCAGTTTCTACTTCTATAATCAATTAAATATTTTTTGGTGCTTGTTTTAAAGCTCCCTTTGGCCTAGCATTTATATATATATACATTCTGTATGTATATGTAAAGATATATGTATGCATCTGTCTATATATATAAAATAAAATGATTAGTAAATACATTAAGTACATTTAAATGCTGATTATTTCTGATAAACCCTTTAAGAGTGGTAATGTAAATTTTAAAATGTCTATAGTACAAAATAGTTGGTACTCAGAAAAAAATTCTTTCGCTTCCTGAATGTGCCTCCCTGTGAATTTCTCATTTGAGACATTTAAATGGAGACTGTTTGAGCCATGTGTTTACATGCTCCCAGTAGTAGACCCTCTCCACGTCATGTGGGCTCAGCCTGTCTCTCAGTCGATTCTACTCCACGCTGTTTTCCCAGCATTGTATAATCAGGAATTCTGCCAGTGTCCCATGAGTGACAATGTGTGATATCTATAATCTTTAAAAAAAAAATACTAGCACTAGCCCAAGTAAAATGTTTATTTATTAGAATCTATGTCATCACACTAGTTACTAAACAAAATTGTTTCCCATGATTGACTTTGATGTTTCTGGTGATAAATGGGGTGGTTTTTATAATGTGGACACTGGCCAGAGCTTCAGGGATTTAAATATTCTACGGTTGGAATATTCGGAGGTATGGATCCATTACTGGCCACTTGTATACCAGGTTATTTGCCTGAACTTGTCAATCATTAAAGTTTAAAAACATTGTATAGCAGCCGGCTGTGTGGCTCAGTGAATTGAGCATTGTCCCGTGGACTGAGAGGTCCTGGTTCGATTTCTAGTCAGGGCACATGCCCAGGTTGTTGGCTTGATCCCTGGTAGGGGGCGTGCAGGAGGCAGCTGATTGATGTTTCTCACATGGATGTTTCTATCTCCCTCTCTAAAAAAATCAATGAAACATATTTTAAAAAATAAAAACATTTTATAGCTAACACTGAGTAGCCCTCTTTTTTTTTCATAACAGTGCTTATAAAATACAGTGTATTATTTCACATGTACAATGAGGAAACTATCTCAGGATGCCTTGCCCCCATTCACACAGTAAGTGGTGCATCTGGGGGTACAAAAACAAACTGGCCGATAATTGTCATTTTATACAAGCCAACAGAAACAGAAATCCAGAGGAATACTTTTCACTGCAAGCACTAAGCCATTTCAAAATTGCTTAAACAATGAAGTTTATTTTGAAACCAGCTGAGTCTCAGTGCAGGGTGGCTCTGGGTTAAATACCGGAGTACATCAGTTTCACCATGGCTTCCATACCCAGGTTTGGGTCCTGGGGAAAGCTTTTTATCAGTGTAGGGAACTGTTCACCAGCCAAGTTCCCAGACACTAGCCAGAGGCCAACTTTGCAAGCAAGCCTTGCTAAGGGCAGCAGTCTCAAGGCCTGCTGTGGTCTCTCTTCTGCACAGGTGGGTTCATTTGATTTTTCACTATTTCAAACAATGCTGGGTGTGTGTATGTTGGCTCCCTTATGTTTATTTCTGTTGGATAAATCTTCACGTGAATTTGCCCATCAAATAATGTGTGTTGTGTATGTATACACACACATATAGTTTTGATAATCGTGGCCAAATTGAACTAAAAAGACTGCCAATTTACATTCCTAGTAACAGTGTAGCAAGGTACTCTCCACACTGCCAATACACTGGTTATCTTAGTAATTGTCAGCTGGATACAGCTTGAACCTTAACAGGACATGTAGAAAGGTCCGTAAAAGTAACAGAATTGTTTGTACTAAGCAGATGTGAGTTACATCTGACAGTGTAGTGCTTTAGCGAGTTTTTCATGAATATGTTATGAAGATACGGTTCAGTCACTTGATAGCTGTGCTTTACATGTGAAATTGAAACTTAATGAATAATTAAAATAGAAAAGGTTTGTGTTTAACAGTGGGTTTTCAGAATTAAAATGTGTTTAAATACTAGTTTCCTATTAAATTATGCTGTTTGTCCTGGCCAGTTTGGCTCAGCAGTTAGAGCGTTGTCCCATGAACCAGAGTCTCAGGTTTGATTCCAGTCAAGGGCACGTACCTCAGTTGCAGTTTATGGCCCTGGTTGGGGTCGTGCAGAAGGCAACCAGTCGATGTGTCCCTCTCACATCGATGTTTCTCTCTCTCCCTCTCTCTCCCCCTCCTACTCTCTCTGAAGATATTTGAGAAAAATATCTCAAATATCTAAGATATTTGAGAAAAAAAATTATGTTGTTTGCCTTTTCATTCTAATTATAATAAAGGAACTGCACCAAGTCATAAATACATGATTTTAATATTAAATATTTACTAAATGTTTTGTAAGGGAAGAGGCATTATGGCATTTTTCATAAACAAGCTGCATTTTAAAATCATACCACTTTACTTTCAGAAATCTTATATGAAAGTATTGTTCAAAGTAAAGAATTGGAATTATAGTGGTTTTAATGTCATATGCCAGGTTGACTTGGAGGATCTAAAAAGCAAACCATGAATAAAAGAATTGGGACCATGAAGAAAATGGATCTTGTATGGATGCTTATTGGGGGAATATTTTTTACTTTGAAAATATTGTAATTCATTCCTTCAGAAGGAAACTACCCTGAAAATGTGTAGTTCTGTATGAGAAATCCTAGTGTGTTGTCCTTGTTTTCTTTCCTGGTATTGCTATGGGTTTCTGTGGTTGTAAGTACACCTAAACTCCCATCTGGGTTTCTAATCTCCATGCTTCAGAGGTTTCCTGAGTGGCTATGTTCAGTGTGGGAAACACTCCCAATCTCTTTGACGCCCAATTAAAGTGCTCCTTCCCTGAAACAAACACAGTGGTACCCCCTGCAAGGTATTCTCTACTGCCAAAGGAGAGAGAATGAACCAATGTTTAGGCAAAGACTTGGTCCTCCACAGGGATTTCTAGACCAGTGATAGAATAGGGAAACGCACTGAAATTTGTTTACTTAAATGGTTTGAATACTTGTGATTTCCTCACCTGGAAACTAGAAAGTCAAACATTTGTATCAGTTCTGCCACTGACTGACTCACTGTGTGTCCTTAAAACATTTTGTTTTTTTTAAATCCTGTTCTCAACTGTAAATTCAAGATAATACAGAACTATATTACCGACTTGTCAACAATATTGAGAACTGCATACTGCTTTGAAAATGCAAAGATATGAAGGCTAAATTTCAAAATAATTACCAGTGGAAAGTGTAAGCTTTTAAAATCTACTTGGATGCCAAGGAAACCAAAGTGAGTATTAGTGCTTCATGCGATTTTTGAGGTGATTTTCTTAAGTCATAATAATTGAAAGCTTATGTGTTTACAAAATTCCTCATATTGATATGAGACAAAGCTTTTACAGCTCAATTGACAATTTAAGGAGTGCCTGGTTTTCTTTTTTCAAGTTGAATTAGGTGCAATATATATCCTCTTCCTAATAGCCTATTTTGGTTATGACAAAAAGATTCATACATATATAGAGATAAAATGTCTTTAACTGACGTTATCTTTGAAAAGGAACTTTATGGGCTGAAAATTACTTCTGCTTTGATATAAAGAGCCTAGGAAAATATGCAGTTATTAATGCCTTCCCAATTCACCCTTGATTCTTGAATTCAGTTGCAGTTTGAAGAATGCTTGCTTTTGAAATGGCATTGAGAGGACTCGGTGGGTACTTAACTATTCACATTTTCATTTATCTTTAAACAAGTATGTAGTAATTTTCATAGCATATTAAAAAAATTCCTTATATTCGAATAAATGCCAGTGCCTCAGGCTTTATGGCCCCTTATTTTTCATGGTATTTTTTATGCCTGAATCATTTGGTTTAATGTGCTGTATTCTGCAGGTCTGGTTTTATTTTTTTAAATATAAGTTTGGACAGACTCCTTGAGGTTGCAAGGAACAAAGGCACATTATCTTAAATGCTGGAGGACAGTCCTGGCCAGTGTGGCTCAGGTGGTTGAGCACTGTCTCGTACACAGAAAGGTCATGGGTTTGATCCCCGGTCAGGGCACATACCCAGATTGTGGGTTTGATCCCCGGTTGGGGTGTGTGCAGGAAGCAACTGATCGATGTTTTACTCTCACGTTGATGTTTCCCTCTTCCTTCTCTAAAATCAATAATAAGAAAAAAAGAATATAGAGGACAGTAAGGCCATCATCTCATGAGGCACAGCTTTCTGGAAAGCTGAAAAAAATAGGTCTTTGTCATGTAGTACACCCAGCAGCTCGGCTGGCCGGGTTGTGGCCTCCTCTTGAAATGGATGTCCGTTGTTATGTGGTCACAATATCACACTCTTTTTTTTTTTAATCTTTATTGTTGAATGTATTACAGATGTTCCTCATTTTTCCCCCATTGACCCCTCCCTCCCCACTCTCGCCCCCCTCCTGCCTTTCCCCACACTGTTGTCTGTGTCCATTGGTTATGCATATAACTTCTTTGGTTTATTTCTTCCCACCCCCCATCCCCTTTCCCTTTGAGGTTTGTCAGACTAGCAATGAATTTGTACTTCTTAATCCCTTCACCTTTTTCATCCATTCCCCCCAACCCCCCTCCCATCTGGCAACCAACAAAATGTTCTCTGTATCTATGAGAATGTTTCTGTTCTGCCTGTTCATTTTGTTTGTAGATTCCATTGTCGATAGATATGTATTAATTGCCATTTTGTTTGTTCATATATTTTATCTTTTTCTTCAAAAAGACCCTTCAACATTTCATATAATAACGGTTTGGTGGTGATGAACTCCTTTAACTTTTTCTTGTCTGG